CCAGTCTACGGCCTCCGACAGGCACCCCGCGAGTGGCACGACACATTGAGGACTACACTTGCGGCTCTTGGCTTCACTCCCTCGACTGCTGACCCTTCGCTGTTTCTGCGCACAGACACTTCTCTGCCGCCGTTCTACGTTCTTGTGTACGTTGACGACTTGGTTTTTGCTACTGCTGACACTGAGGCTCTGGCCTTGGTGAAGGCGGAGCTGCAGGAGAGACACACTTGCACAGACCTGGGTGAGCTGCGGAGCTTTCTTGGCTTGCAGATCACCCGGGACAGAGCACGCCACACCATCACCCTCACTCAGTCACACATGGTGCAGCAGGTCCTTCAGCGCTTCGACTACACGTGGTCTTCGCCACAGCCCAATCCTCTGTCTACCAGCCACTCGCTCTTAGCTCCACGTTTGGACGAGTCCGTAGAGCCGAATGGTCCGTACCCAGAGCTTGTGGGTTGCCTCATGTACCTGATGATGTGCACACGACCTGACCTCGCGTACCCTCTCAGCCTCTTGGCTTGCTACGTGGCTCCCGGTAGACATCGAAAGATGCACTGGGATGCTGCGACGAGGGTATTGCGTTACTTGTGCAGCACATCGTGCATGGGGCTCGTGCTTGGAGGACCAGGTTCAGTTGTTCTCACCGTTCATTTAGACTTTTCTTGGGCTGACGACCAGACGACACACCGGTCGACACAGGGGTACAGTTTCAGCCTTGGCGCTGGTTCTGTCTTGTGGAGGTCCACTCGTTCTTCTTCTGTACTTAGTTCCAGCTGTGAGGCCAAGATCTACGCTGGAGCTATGGCTGCACAGAAGCTCCGCTGGCTGACCTACCTGCTGACCGACTTGGGTGAGCGGCCTCGTTCTCCTCCAGTTCTGTACGTTGACAACAAGGCCATGATTGCTTTGTGTCAGGACCAGAGACTGGAGCACAAAACGAAGCACATTGCTCTCCGTTATTTCCTCACACGAGAGCTGCAGCAGCGTGGTCAGCTTCGTCTTGCTTACGTGGCCACACGGGCCAACAGTTCTGATGTCTTCACCAAGGCCCTTGGGTCTAGTGATCATCAGCGTTTCTGTACTGCTCTTGCGCTTGTGCCCACTCTGCCTCACTTGCTTGTCTCTTGATCTTGCTCTTGTTGTACACTGATATATATGAGTATACTTGCATGGTTACACTTGCTAGGTTGTGATCAGTGTACTGCTCTTGCTATTATAAACTATGAGCTTGTGGTGATCAGTGTTTGTGCAATGTCGTCACTCCCCTCCAATTCGGTTCAGTGTTGAACAGTGCATACCGAAGTGCATGAATGGAGTGTACTCGGCGAATACCAAAGCTCCGGTATGCGATATGCGAAACCTTGCTACATCGCATAGGGCTACACGCAAAACCAGTCATGTGCAGGGCTTCACCTCAACATAAAGTTCTTGTAGATGTTTGCAATAACGAGAGTTGTTTAAAACTACTCCGACGTTATGCTAAGACGCTGCTGACGCAGGATCCGCCATGTCGGATGCATCTGCATACATTCACCAATCAGAGTATGCATGAATCACCCCCAAACTCAGAAAGCCCACTGCCTTCCTCCCAGTCATGACCACTGAGTAGGTTTGTGGCGAGGTGCATGCCATGTGGCATATGCTTTTCTATTTCTCGCGGGTCAACAAATTCAAGGCAAGGAGAATCACCCATACAGTAGTACCATCCAAAACTTCCCAGTCAGGAGGGAACACCACTCCACCAGCACCACCAACAACCGCAACAAAACCACACCCTTCCACCCTCCCCATACCTTACCAGCATTTCCGCCCACTCCCCCACTTCCCTATCAAACGCTCTAGCTAGGTTAAATTTCTCGAATCGCCTGAGAATAGAGCGTTCATTGACACACGATTGCACGTCTCGACAACTTCTCTCTCAACTTCATGGCGTCTCCAAAGCTTCCCGTCCAGGTACGACGTGGAACTCGGGACACTTGTCGACCTAGTCCTTTGCCACGCTGAATTCACCGAAATGCACTGCTCCGTGATGTTGCTCAGTCCTGAATTTGGCTCGGCTGTGGCGGAATTTGCAGGTATTCAACCCTAATGGAAGGTTCCCTGTGGTTTCAACATAGCCCATGCCCGGAACCAGCTGGATTGACGTGCTAGTTGCTGCGGATTGCCGACTCGAGGTGCGTACATGCCTTCAAAGCCCATCAGTGGTACATGTCGATACTGCTAGCCGGCAGCCAAACGAGTCACTTCTCCGCGCATCCTCCTGTCCGCAGCCAGTATGGCATCCAATGTCATCTTCATAATTATTCACGCCTCATATATGCACTTCTATCAAATCCTTCAATCAAGCGCACAAACCTCCCCGCTTCCACCATCCCCCGTTGCGACGGTCCTCCTCCGTGTGCGAAAGATCTGCATGGCTAGCTAGACGATTCTGTCGGTGGACGACATTTTGCAGCTCATTGGCGACAGATGCGACGACGTTATTGGCCAGGTGCGTGCAGCAAGGGAGCAGGTGCGTGCGGCGAGCAGGTGCCTATAACATCCCTATAGCGAACAGTTCCCTCATCTCCCTGTTCCTCCTCCGCCTCCCATCCCTCCCACATCAACCCCGCCCCTTCCCCAACTAACCCCGTAAAATATTCCCCTCCCCATCCTCTTCCCCCATCAATCCTGTCAGAACACTAAGCACCTAGGAAACTAGGGTTGAGTGTCAAGGGAGTTGAAGCAAGGAAAATCGAGAAGGAAGAAGTGGTTTCACTATTGAGCAAGGTACAAGATATAGCAAAGAGAAAGCCACATGGTACACCACCTACAACAAGTGAGATGCACTACAGTCTACACTACAGACAGTTATAAAGGATATATAAATATATTCTAACACACCCCCTAACTGCTTGTAGTGAAGAACCTTGTGCACAAAACCCTCTGAAGGGGTACACCAGGAGCAGCAGAGGAAGGAGAGGGCAAGTGAAGAGGAGGAGGGACCATGAGAGGAGAGGAGGTGGTGGGTGGCGGCTGAAGCTGCTGGCACACGGGCAACTGGAGGAACTGGCACACTGGCAAATGGAGCAACTGGCACACGGGCAACTGGAGTAACTGGCTCCGCAGCTAAGCGAGCGGCTGGAGCAACTGACTCATGGGCTACAGGAGCAACGGGCTCACGGGCAACTGGCGCAATGGTCTCACGGGCAACTGGAGCTGCTGGCTTCACGGCGTACACCCCCCTACAATTTCGCCCATTTTCCCAACCCTTTCACACCCCTCAGCATCCCTACCGCCACTCCCTCATCTCCCCCACACCCTCCCCCCCCCCCTAGCGCCATGTGCAGCAATGGGAGAGAGAGGAGAGGCGGCAGCAGTTCACTCACACCCGCCACCCCCATACCCTCCCCCCCACTGCTGCACCCGCAGCAGGGAGATGGAGGAGAAGGGGGGGGGGGCGGGGGGGCTGGTGCTGTAGATCCCCTCCCCCCCACTGCTGCACCCGCAGCAGGGGGATGGAGGAGAAAGAGGGGGGGCGGGGGGGGGGGCTGGTGCTGTAGATCCCCTCCCCTCCACTGCTGCACCCGCAGCAGGGGGATGGAGGAACAGGGGGGGGGGGCGGGGGGGCTGGTGCTGCAGATCCCCTCCCCCCCACTGCTGCACCTGCAGCAGGGGGATGGAGGAGAAGGGGGGGGGGGGGGGGGGCGGGGAGGCTGGTGCTGCAGATCCCCTCCCCCCCACTGCCGCACCCGCAGCAGGGGGATGGAGGAGAAGGGGGGGGGCGGGGGGGCTGGTGCTGCAGAGCCCTTACTGCCACCCCCTTAACCTCCAAGCTCCCCCCCTTCTCCCGACACAGCGACAAGTGCGGCAGGGAGAGAGAGGAGGAGGTGGTGGGTGGCTGACTACTCACACCCGCCACCCCCATACCCTCCCCCCCACTGCTGCACGCGCAGCAGGGGGATGGAGGAGAAAGGGGGGCGGGGGGGGGGGGGGGGGGGCGGAGTAGGAGCCGCTCGGGCGACAGCAGGGCGCGCGACGGGCAGGAACCCGTCGTGCGCCACACCCGCCACCCCCATACCCCCCCCCCCCCCCCCCCCCCCCTGCTGCACGATCAGTAGGGGGATGGAGGAGAAGGGGGGGGCCGGGGGGGCGGTGTAGGAGCCGCGCGGGCATCAGCAGGGCAAGCAACGGGCAGGAAAACCGTCGTTCGCCACCCCCGCCACCCCCATAATCTCCCCCCAACTGCTGCACGCGCAGCAGGGGGATGGAGGAGAAGGGGGGGGGCGGTTTAGGAGCTGCGCGGGCGACAGCAGGGCGCGCGACGAGCAGGAAACCGTCGTGCGCCCCACCCGCCACCCCCATACCCTCCCCTTCTGATGCACGATCAGCAGGGGGATGGAGGAGAAGGGGGGGGGGCGGGGGGGCAGTGTAGGGGCTGCGCGGGTGACAGTAGGTCGCACGACGAGGCGCACAACGGGCAGAAAACCGACGGGCGCCCGGGGCGCGCGACGGGCAGAAAATCGACGCGCGCCCGGGGCGCACGACGGGCAAAAAACCATTGGGCGCCCGGGGCGTGCGACGGGCAGCAGGGTGGTGCATTGGCAGAAGCAAATGGTGGGCCCAATGAAAGTAGGTCCTTCTTAAGAAACTCACTCTGATAACATGTTAGAACACTAAGCACCTAGGAAACTAGGTTTAGGCTTAGGAGGCATAGGAGCCATGCTAGGGTTGAGTGTCAAGGGAGTTGAAGCAAGGAAAATCGAGAAGGAAGAAGTGGTTTCACTATTGAGCAAGGTACAAGATATAGCAAAGAGAAAGCCACATGGTACACCACCTACAGCAAGTGAGATGCACTACATTCTACACTACAGACAGTTATAAAGGATATATAAATATACTCTAACAAATCCCCCCTTCTCCCTCCCGCGCCCCCTCGTGTCCCCCAGCTGACGGAGAAGTGGGGCGAGCGGCTGTCTGCAACGCTGGCGCGCGCGGGCGGGCGGGCGTAGATCAACATGGCGGTGGGGTACAACAACGTCAACGTGAACGCTGCCACGCGGCATGGCATCAGCATCGGCAACATGATTCTGCCTCTGCGCATCCTCCTCATCTCCCCCCTCCCCCTCCCCTATGCCCCCCCTTCCCCAGGGCGTGTTGACGGAGACAACGGTGGAGCTTGCGGCGTCGCTGACTCAGGCAGCGGCGCGGCACGTGGTGGAGGCAGATTACTTCATGTGCGCGGGCAAGTACGACGGCTGGCTGCCCACCATGCGAGTAATGGGGGAGGGGAGGGGGGGGAGGAAGGGGTGAGATTGCATAGTATGTGAATAGCGCACTGCGGGTGAGGGCAGACTGCTATATGCGCACGGGGAAATACGATGGCTGGCTGCCCAATTTGTGAGTCCGGAAAGGGCGGGGCGGGGAAAGAGGGTTTGGCTGGCCATCGTACTGATGGCGCGCTGCTCGAAAGGGTGGCAGAGGGGGTGGGGGTGGTGTTGGTGGGAGAAAATCGCTCCACTGCACTATTTTCCTGGAATCACTTGGAGAATTCTCAAAAGCGAGGCTCCTTGCACTGCACTGCTCTGTGCGCCTGCTGCATGGCGCCTCAACACACTGCCTGCCCCCTACCCCTCCCTCACTGCATTGCATTGCCTGGCTCATCGCTTCCTCCCCCCTCCCTCGAGGAACAGAAACCATTATCGCCTCATTGTCTGGGCCTTACCCCTTTTCCCCCCTCGCTCTCCCCTTTCCCCCTCCAACCCCTCCCCGCCCCGCCCCCTCTCTCCCACCCCCCCCTGGCGCCGCAGGTTCATAGGCAACCTGCTCAAGGGGCAGTGGTGGTCATCATCGGTACCTTGCCTGGCTCTTACCCCCTTCCCCCTTGGCTTCTCCCCTTCCGGCCCCCTTCCCCCCCTAGCTCCCCTCCTTCCGCCCCCACCCCCCCTCCCCTTGCACGCCAGGTTCATAGGCAATCTGCTCAAGGGGCAGACAGTGGGCATCATCGGCGCGGGGCGCATTGGCAGCGCCTATGCACGCATGATTGTGCGAAGGGAGGGAGGGGGGATGGGGAAATGGGGAAAGGGGGCGATGGGGGGAATGGCGGAATGGGCAACGGGGGGGAATGGTCGATGGGGGGATGGTGGGAATGGAATAATGGATGGATGGGATGATGGGAGCGTTTAAGGATGGGGAGATGGTGAGCAGTGATGGATGGCGAGAGGTAGCAAACAACAGATGAGGCCATGGGATGTGAGAGGCAGTGCGGACTCGTAGGGTGCAGTGCAGCAGCGCATTCGAGGGCCAGGAGAGGATCAGCCCCATTGACTGTGGCACTTGGCTCGCGACCTTGCTCCGGCGCCAAGAGGCGAGAGTTACCTCAAATGCGCTGCTGGAGATTCTGGTAGTTTCAAAAACAAACAAACAAAACAATAACAACAAAAGAAAAGAGAACGAAAGAAAAGAAACCCACAAATAACAAACATAATAATAAAATACTACCTCTTGCTCCTCCAACCCTCTCATTTCCCCCCTCTCCCTCTCCCTTCTTTCCTCTCCCCTCTCCCTGCCTCGTCTCCTGGCAGGTGGAGGGCTTTAAGATGAACCTCATCTACTTCGACCTATACCAGTCCAAGCGGTTGGAAGAGAGTGTAATTGGTGAGGGGGGTGTGGGTGTGGGTGTGGCGCGAGATGAGGGACGAGTGTGAGGTGAGGGAGAAGAAGGCGAAGGATTCAAGGTGAACCTCATCCACTACGACATGTACCAGTCCAAGCGGCTGGAAGAGAGTGTCTCTGGTGAGTGTGGGAGGCGAGGGAAGAGTGAGAGGCACGTGGTGAGAGAGGAAAAGAGAGTGAGAGCTGAGGGGAAAGAGGGGCGAGGGCTTTAGAATAAGTCTCATTTACTTGGAGCTCTACTTGTTGGCCCAGCCTGCTACCAGCTGGGTCAAAGGGCATGTTTGGTTGGTTGGTAGCACACCCATAACCTTACAAGACGCACCTGTAGCCCTCCCACACTCATGGGGAACGATCCCAATGCCCCACCAACAGTACAGGTCCCGGTTTCTCGACGAGAATGTCTCTGGTGAGGGGTGTTTGAGTGTGGGAGGTGAGGGAGAGAGGTGGAAGGGGAGAGTGAGAGGGGAGTGTTGTAAAAAGAATAATAGAGGCATATCACGTAGCAGAGGGACAATTGCGCTGCATAGAACAAACAGACTCTTGAGATTGTCCCACCCCATAAATTCTGTACTGCAGCACGTCTCCCATTGACCCTCTAAACACCATCACTTCCAATACAATTCCCCTCTCATCCTTCTCACTCTCCTCTCTCACACACCCCCACCTTATCTATCCTTCCCCCCTTCTCCCCACACGCCTTCCCCATCTCCTGCCAGCCTACTCCCGCTTCCTCCAATCACAGGGCGAGCCGCAAGTGACTTGGCGTAGAGTGTCCAGTCCCGAAGAGGTGCTGCAGGTTGCTGACGTGGTAAGCTGCTGAAGTGCATGCTGTGTGATGATGCATTCTTGATTTAGTCTCGGATGGGCAGGAGCATTGACCGGGATAAGTGGACTAGCATGTAGAGGCTCGGGCATGATGACTTTTGAGGCACCTCAAAAGGCATGCGGCACGCATCCATTTAATTTGAAACCATACCATCCCATATCATCTCATCGCTTTGCATACTATCCCAATGCTCGTCTTCCGTTTGACCCTGCAGGTTTCTCTACACCCTGTACTCGATAAGACCACCTTCCACCTCTTGGATGAGAGACGCCTCAACATGATGAAGAAGGTACAGTACAGCTCCGTTCATCCCAGCGCCGACATTGTACTTATCAGTATAGCTCACATACGGTTTTTTTTTTCAGCTCTAAAAAAAGTATCTCCTGCTGATTTCCCACAGTCCCACATCTTCCTGCTTGGATCATGTTTGCCTGTTCCCCATGTTTCACCATGTCTTGTTGTACCATCCCCTTTCCTCGTTGTCTGCCACCAGCAGATGTCGTGCTGAAGAATTGAGTTGAAGCAGGGTCCAGGTGGTGGACGAGGTGGGGCGCCAATGCCTCGTGTGCCCCCATGCTCTCATACACAACACTGATGTGGCCCCTCGTTGCACCATCTCTCCTTGTTGTTTTGCCATCTTCCCCTCCCCTCGGCCTCAGGACGCCATTTTGGGCCTAGTGACGGACAAGGTGGCGTTGTGGACATGTGTGTTCCATGCCTGCCTGCCCGTCACATCAATGCCATGCCTCCACTCCCCCTCCTCCCCCTTGCAGGACGCCATACTGGTGAACTGCAGCAGGGGTCCAGTGGTGGACGAGGTGGCACTGTTGAAGCACCTCAAGGCCAACCCCGCCTTCAGAGCCGCTCTCGACGTCTTTGAGGTCGGTGCGTGCTGTGCTGTGCTGCTGCTGCTGCTGCTAGAGCTCCCCCTGGCATCTCAACGTGCACTTGCACATTGTAGCCCAGGCATACTTACCCTTCCCCTCCCCCGGATGGACTTTAGAGACGCCTGACAGTTAAACCTACGCATATCGCCCCTCACCCTCTTACCCGATGAACGTCTGAGCATGGCTTTGCAGCCATCTGGAACTTTGAACGTCCTGCCCATCCATGGAGTTCATCACTCTTTGCGTGCCTCCAACCCCTTCAATCCGTCCTCCCCTCCCTCGCCCCCTATATGCCCCCCTTGCATTTCATTCGCGTCGTCTCGATCCTCTTTTTTTTACGTTCTTGTAAGCGAAACCCGACGGTAGTTAACTTGCACCTCTGGCTCACATCCTGCCAGTGATCCCAACTCAATTCCCCCCCATTCCCCTCTCCCTCCCTGTTCCTCTCTTACCTCCCACCATTCCTCTCCATTGCACCAGGACAAGCCGCTGATGAAGCCAGGTCTCTCCACGCTCCCCAATGTGGTAGTCGTACCGCACATCGCCTCCGCCTCTCAGTGGACACGGGCTGGCATGGCAGGCCTCGCTGCTCTCAACGTCACTGTGAGTGCAGCGTGTGCCTTAGATACATTGGTCCTCTCATTGTTGTGCCGGGCATCGCCTCCACCTCTCAGTGGACGCGTGCCGACATTGTTAAAAGCCTAAGTTGACTTAGGACTTGGGTTGAGGGTAGAACGAGAGTGACAAGAGGAAGATGTCGAGAGATTAGCCAAAGAGGGTTTCACTAAAGGGCCAAAGGCCCAAGTTATACAAGAGACAAGCAAGGAGAGGTGCATCACAAGCAGGAAACCATATAACTACACTACAGCTAGAACTACATGCAGTTATACAGAAAAATATATAAATTATATTCTGACACACCCCCTAACTGCATTAAGGAATAGCCATGTGCAGAACATCCCCTGAAGGGGTACACCCTGCGTAGCGGAAGACAACAGAGAGGTAAGTGAGGAGGAGGAGGCAAAAAGTGAGAGAGAGAGAGAGAGAGATGAAGAGAGGAGGTGGGGGGGAGCCAGACGCGGCGAGCCCCTCTTACGAACCCCCTTTTACAAAGGAGGAGGTGAGCGAGGGATGAGGAGAGGAGGTGGGGGGGAGCCAGACGCGGCGAGCCCTTCTTATGAACCCCCAATCCCACACCCCCTTTCAGCCACCCCCCTTAAACCTCACCCCCCTTGTTCAGCCGCCACCCGGAACCGCACCCCTTCCGCCACCCCCTCACCCTCCCCCACCGGCGGCACGTGCGGCAGTGAGAGAGAGAGGAGGGGCAGCTGCTGGCTCAGCAGAGTCTCTCTCGCCACCCCCTCATACTGCCCCCCTGCTCCCACAGCGACAGACGCTGCAGGGAGAGAGAGGAGAGAGGAGGGCGGCGGCTGGTTCTTGCGGGTACACTCCCGCCACCCCTTCACCCTCCCCCCCACAGCGACGATCACGTATGGGGCAATAAAGGGCAACGGCTGGCGCTGCTGGCGGCTCACAGCGGCCACCCTATCACGCCACCTCCCCCCCACAGCAGGCGCAAATGCTGCTGGCGCTGGCGGGATCGGAGGTGGGCTGCGACGAGCAGGACGGGGGGGGTGTAACGGGGGGTGCGACGAGCGCCTTTGCGCCGCTCGCCGTCGCTAGCGTAGCAGCTGCAGTCGCGGCAGCTGTATGGTCGACAGGGCGGGGGAATGGTGCAGCGCGACCGGGTAGGCGTCGAGGCAGCGCGATGTGGCGATAAACGGGGCCAGCAAGGCGCGCGACGAGAGGCCAAACCGGGGCCGCAGCTAGCGCCATCGCCCATGTCCCCGTCACGGGCAGTAGCGTGACGAGCGGAAGATGCGTGACTGGCAGCACGACGCACGGCGCGACAAGGGGCGCCATGCATGACAATAAAAAGCAGGCTTAGGCGATCCAGGCTCTCGATACCATGTTAAAAGCCTAAGTTGACTTAGGACTTGGGTTGAGGGTAGAACGAGAGTGACAAGAGGTAGATGTCGAGAGATTAGCCAAAGAGGGTTTCACTAAAGGGCCAAAGGCCCAAGTTATACAAGAGACAAGCAAGGAGAGGTGCACCACAAGCAAGAAACCATATAACTGCACTACAGTTAGAACTACACGCAATTATACAGAAAATATATAAAAATTATATTATGACAGGCATGGCTGCACTGGCAGCTCTCAACATCGTTGTGCCGCTCATCTTGCTCACATATGGTCTGTGTTGCTCATTTCAGTCACATAAGCTGTTCGCCAAGTCAAATCTTCAAGGCTACCCCATGTTGCACTCACTAGCCCTTTTCCAATGCACTTCTTCTCTTCCGTCCCTCCTACACCACCATCCCTCCCTCCTTCCTCGCCCTAGGCGCCCTCAGGAAAAGCTGCAAGGTTCCCCCTTGCATGTTCATACCTCCCCCCCCCCCCTCTCCCTCACACGCAACCATCCCTCCGTTCTTCCCTCCCCCAACTCCCTTCATGTTCCCCTCCAGTCAAAGCTACAGTGGTACCCTCCCATGTGGCACAACCCCAACGACGTGCTCCCCTTGCTTGTCTAAGCCCCCTTGTATCTTTCCTCGCATACCGTCTCCCCGCCCCCTAACCCCCTATATGCTCCCCTCCAGTCAAAGCTACAGGGGTACCCCGTGTGGCACAACCCCAAAGGTGTGGCAAAATACAAATTTACTTGCTAGGCTATAGTGGGTTACTCAGTACGGGGTACAACCCCAATTAGGGTTAGCCTATACAAACCTGTACTGCCCTATTTCTAGTCATTCCTGCACAGTGATTCTGACATGGTATTCAGAGCAGGAAACATGTTAGGTTTTTAGGGCCCACCGATAGTTCCGCTTATTCCTGCTCAAAGCGCCCTTGCGCTGTCCGGCCCTGCTCACACTGTGTCGCGCTGCCCTGCAGCTACTCGTGTCAAACTTATATGCTATAGTCTATTTAGGCTGTAGTGGGGTAGTTCATATAGGGTACAACACTTTTAGGTTTCCTACTTGTACCCACCTGCTTGCTAATTCAGTCATTCATTCCTTCACTATTCTGACATGGTATTCTGAGCACGTTCCCTAGTGGGAACGTTTTTTTAGGGCCCGCCACGATTTTTTTTTCTGCCCTGCCCGAAGCGCGCCTCGCGCCTGCCTCACCTGCGCCGTTGCGCGCCCTGCCCTAGTACGGCCCGTCGCGGCCCTGCCTTCGCTGGCCCGTCGCGGCCCTGCCTTCGCCGCCAGACGCTGGCCCGTCCCGGCCCGTCCCGGCCCGTCGCCGCCCGTCGCTGGCCCGTCGCCGCTCGTCGCGGACCTGCCTTCGCCGCCCACTGCGGCCCTGCCCTGCAGCCACCCTGTCGCGGCCCTGCCTTTCGCCGCCCGTCGCTGGCCTGTCCCGGCCCGTCCCGGCCCGTCGCCGGCCCGTCCCGGCCCGTTGCCGCACGTCGCCGGCCCGTCGCCGCCCGTCGCTGGCCCGTCGCCGCTCGTCGCGGCCCTGCCTTTGCTGCCCTGTCGCGGCCCTGCTCTGCTGCCGCCCCAGTCGCGGCCCTGCCTTCGCCGCCCGTCGCGGCCCTGCCCTGCAGCCGCCCTGCTGCCACCCCAGTCGCGGCCCTGACCTAAACCGCCAGCTGCGGCCCTGCCCTGGACCCGCCCCTGGTAAGCACCCGCGCCGCCCTGCCGCGCCGCGCCGCCAGGAGCTGAGCCGCGCCGCCAAGCCAAGCCGCGCCGCCCATCCGAGCCGCGCCGCCCAGCCGAGCCGCGCCGCCCAGCCGAGCCGCGCCGCCCTGCCGAGCCGCGCCGCCCTACCAAGCCGTGCCGCCCTACCGAGCCGCGCCGCCCTACTGAGCCGCACTGCCCTGCCTGCGCTGCTCCTGCTGCTACTGCTGCTTCTGCTGCCACTGCTGCTACTGCTGCTCCTGCTGCTACTGCCGTTATGGCTAGTCCTACTGTTCTTACCTTTGATGCTGAGGGGCGTGCAGTTGACTTTGACGTATGGGTTGACGACCTGCAGCTCTTTCTTCAGTGTGACTCTAGCGACGGGGTATCCCTTTTTTATCACACGTCCGGTGTCTTTACTGCACCTGCTGCCACTGCTTACAGTACGGTTCGCTCGCAGTGGACCACTCGTGACGCTGTTGCTCGCCTTGCTGTTCGTAGTCACCTTCCGTCTTCTGAGCGCGCGCACTTTGGCCAGTACAAGACTGCTCAGTCTTTGTATGACGCTGTAGTAGCGCGCTACTCCTCCCCTGCCACTGCTGCCCTCAGCCGCCTCATGCTGCCGTATCTGTTCCCTGACCTTGCCGCTTTTTCCACAGTCGCTGACCTCATTACTCACCTCCGCACTAGTGACGCCCGCTACCGAGCTGCACTTCCCACTGAGTTCTGTGCCAAGAACCCCCCCCCCATGTACATCACCCTTTACTACCTAGTCACCCGCCTCCCTTACTCCCTTGCTTCAGTCAGGGACCACTTTCTCTCCCTTTGCCCCACCGAGCTCACCGTCGACCTGCTAGAGGAGCGCGTCACTGCAGCTAAGAAGAGTATCTTAGCTGTAGGTGCTTCTCGCGGCGACCCTTGCGCCCCTTTCTTTGAGGGGTGTTCCCCTGTTCCCCTTCTCCCCCTTTGATGCTTCTGCTGCTGCTGTTGACCTCGTTGGCACTGCGGAGGTCGGGGCTGCGTCTGCTCCTAGTGGGAGGCGCCGCAACAGCAAGGGCAAGGGGGGCAAGGGTGGTGGAGGGGATGGTGGGGGCGGCGGTGGAGGAGGCGGAGGGGGTGGCGGTGGAGGTGGGGGTGGTGGCGGGAGTGGGGGCTTCGGTGGCGGCGGTGGGGGTGGTGGAGGCAGCGGCAGCGGCGGTGGAGGCAGCGACAGCGGTGGTGGAGGTGGCGGCGGCGGTGGTGCTGGTCGAGGTGGAGCCGCGCAGCGTGGAGGCTTTGGTGGTAGCCGGCGCCAGCAGCAGCCGCGTTCCTGTGAGACCCCGTCGGCTCAGCAGCTTTGTGAGTGGTACACTGGGCGTGGGAGGTCTGGGGGTGTTGGTCCCTGCACTTACGTTCTTCGCACCGGCGGGCGCCGTGGAGAGACGTGCGGGCTGCCACACACTGCGCAGCGCTGCTTCGGTCGGCTGACTGACGCCTGGCGTGCCCAATTTCCTAACGCAGTTGAGCTCCCTCGCTGGGGTGATCTGCTTAAGCAGAACGTTGCTATCTTTGATCTTGATTTCGATGCTATCCTTGCTACCATGTATGCTGTGACTGATAGTGCTGAGGGTGACTGTTACCTGGGTGTTCCGCCTGACCCGGGCATTGAGGCTGCTGCTCTAGGTGCTAGTGCGTGTGCTGCTCCAGGTACTAGTGAGTCTGCTGCTCCAGGTACTAGTGAGTCTCCTGTTCCAGGTGCTGGTGAGTCTGATCTCTCTGGTACTGCACCTACTGAGGCCTTGCACACTTTCACACTTGACTCTGGTGCTTCGCGCTCCTTTCGCGACAGCACCACACTCATGCCACTTAGTCGGCCTGTCGCAGTCTCCCTGGCTGACCCCTCTGGGGGCCCAGTCCTTGCGCACTCCTCCACGGTTCTACCGTGTCCCGCGGCCCCGTCGGACTTGCTGTCGGGACTCCACCTCCCCTCGTTCTCTACGAACTTGGTGAGTGGAGCTGACCTCCAGGACGCGTGGGTTGACC